AGAGAGAGAGAAAGCACAAAAAAGTATACACACTTCAGAAAAAGAAAAATTTATATAAACATTTTAATGCTAAATTTATTGAGAGATCATGAGGTTAATACAAGTTCCTTTTGGCCTCTACGATTACCAGAGGCATTCAGAGGGTGGCCATGAGCTTCCAGACAGCGGTTAGCGCTGCGAACTGCTGCGTGGGTGACCTCAGTCATTGGGGTTGTTGCACGTGCATTTTCAATTTCTTCTCTAGGGGCCGGCAATGTAATGGGTATTCTGTGATACACAACATTCTCTAAGGCCCTCCATAAACTATTAACATGCCTATATAAGTTTTTCCTTTTAAGAAGTGTGTATACATTTTTGAGCAGATTTTATATAGAGAGAGGGAGAAAGAGAGAGACAGACAGAGACACAGAGAGACTACTGGAAATGCGTTTATACCAATAAATTGAAAAATCTCAGCACCTGCTTAGGCAAGCTTAGGCAGGTGCAGGGAACAGCGATTCGATCCCTGGCACCACATGCCATGCCAGCCATGCCCTACATGCAGGCTGATCTGGCCAAAAAATTGGGCCAGCCAGATAGCTCAGCAGGCTAAAGCACCTGTTTAGACAGGCATAGGGACCAGAGATCAGGGTTCAATCCCTGGAGTGACATGCTGGTCTTGCCCCCGACACACACACACTGAGACTGAGACTGGGGCATGGGCCTGAAACATCAGCATTTGGGAGGCTGAAAACAGGAGGATCACTATGAGTCCAATCTGTTTAGTGAGCCCTGTAGTCTCTGTACTAAATACATAAAAAAAAAAAATTGAAAAATCTAGATGAGACATGTGCAGTGAATAGTATCCAGCCTTGGAAAGAAGACCTGGAGCTAGGGCTAGAGCTCCGGGCCAGAGCACTCACCTGGTGTAAGGTCTCAGGTCCAGCCCTGGTGTCACACACAGAGGGACAGGACACCGGACATGTGCTGTGACATGGATAGGCCTTGGGGACCTTATGCCAGCTGAGATAAGCCAGATACAAATGACAACTGCTAGGTCCACTTACACAAGGCATTTGGAAAATGCAATTTCATAAAATTAAGAAAAAAAAAAAAAAACAGAATGTGTTAGCCACAGGGTAAGGGAGATGAGAAAGGAAAATTCTGGTGTATCGGGCACAGAATTTCAGCTCCGTGTCATGAAGAGAGCTCCAATGATGGATGGCGGAGATGGTGGCGGACAATGATGCACGCACTCATTGTCACCAAACTGAGGCTTCAAAATGTGGAAGACAGTAAGTTTCATGTGCGTTTGGCACAATAAAAAATGCACAGGAAGGGACGCCTGAGCCCGAGGGTGGGAGGCCAGGTCTGAACTCACCAGCACGGGCTCCAACAGTTGCCCCTCGGGCAGGACAGAGCGGTTCATCCGGGCAATGCGCTGTAGGGTGCGCAGGGCAGCCTGGGTGTTCCCAGTGGAGACATTGAACCGAGCAGACTCAGGAATAAACTGCATACAGGTAACAAAGAACATCCCCTGTGAGCCCTGCGGGAGTGACCCTCCCTCTATCCGCCACACAGGCTGGGCTTCCCAAGGTGGAAAACAAGCAGGGAGGCTCAGAGGCGCAAGGGATGGTGGAATTCCGCTGAATTCAAAGGTGCTTCAGAAGTCTGTCCTAGGGAGGGAGGGTTCTGGGGGTGAAACGGTGCTAAAACCCAAGGATGCAATGGAAATGCTTTGATTTAGGGTTAGGGAAGTCCATTGGCAATTATAGGCCAGGTTCTAGGCTGGAAAACCACGCCCACAGAAAGGTCCTAGGGCTGTAGCTCATGGTAAACC